CCCCGCGGCCCCCGCCAGTGCCCGTCATGCCTCAGATGTGGAGGACCCAGGAGGCCCAGCCCTGGACCTTCCACCTGGTGGACTTTAAACGCAGGCATGTCCCTCCAGCCCGCTGGCCAGGGGCGGGGAAGGAGAGGAGGAAGTGCGGCTCTGGGCGCATCTCCGACCCCTCCCAGCCCCAGCCGGGGCCCTGTCCCAGGCCTCCTCTCCTCTCTGCACCCCTAGCTGACCAGGAGGCACCTGCCTCTGGTCAGGCTGCAAAGGACAAGGGGCAGCCAGTGCCAGGCGTGGTCAGCTCCAAGGGGGCCTGTGTGCCTCAGGAGGTGAGGCTGGGTCCTCTAGGGTCCAGTGAGGGTCTGCTTGGGGGTCGTTGGAAGCGGAGGGGCCTGGCTTGGAGGGCGGGAGACGCTGGGGTCTCGGTGGAATTGGCGCTGAGTGCCCCAACCAGGGCGGGCCCATGGTCACCATAGCCTGCTGGTGCGGCACACTGGGGGCTGTGCTCGATGGTGCCCCCAATTCACACCAAGGCTGAGGATCAGGGCCCAGCTCGGAGCCGGGGCAGAGGGTCGGCCACAGAGCGGCCCGGCTGGGTGAGGTGGGGTGTCAGCCGGGGTCTCCTAGGCGCAGCAGCGCACCGAATGTATCCGATGATGGGCCACACCCGTCAATCCTGGCTGGGATGGTCCTGAGGGCCCTCAGCTGGGCAGAGACAGGTTTCCCTCCTTGTGAAGACCATGGAGAAGACGGCCCTCAGCTTGGATGAGGAGGGAGGAGCAGGGTTCCGGGAAAGCTCCCCATGGCTCGCAGCCCGCCTGCTCCCCGGAGGGGGGCACCTGCCTCCGTTTGCACAGGAGTCTGAGCGGCAGGTCACCACTGCTGGAGCGGTGAGGAAAGCGCACTGGGGGGCCAAAAGCCCCTCGAGCAGGGTTCTCAGTGAGCCCCCGACGCCGCCCCTGCTCAGCCCTCCCATGCTCTGTGCTGCACGAGGGCGCCCGGCGCGGGCGGCCTCCGTCTGCGAGCAGGGCCCGGGCCCAGGAAGGGAGGCGCGGGGAGGTGGGCGGCTCGGAGTCCCAGGGGTGGCCGCCAGCCCCAGTCGGGCACTGCTCCAGCTGCCCTCTCAGAGGACCTGAGACCGGAGCCCAGTGCCCTGCGCGCCCGCAGAGCGCAGAGGGCCGGGCTGTGCAGACGGCCAGCGCCCTGCCCCGCCTCTGACCGCCCCGCAGGGTGTGGCCACCTGCGCCCGCAGCGCTCAGCTCCGTGAAGGGCGGGCAGGACGGCCCTCCCCCCAGCAGGGGCAGCACACGCGTCCACACGGCGGCCCCAGCCCCACTACAGAGACGCGGCGTCCCGTCGTCCACTTTACTCTCAGACAGCGCGAAGGGGCAGGTCCGCCGGGAAGCGAGGCGCCCAGGCCTCGTCAGCTGGCCTTGGGCCGGGCGCCGTGGGCGGCGGACAGGGCGAGGACGGCCTGGGCGGCGTAGTAGGTGCTCATGACCAGCAGGCGGGCGTGGGGCAGCGGCCAGGCGAAGGTGCTCCAGGCCAGCACGCAGTCCGAGAACGTGAAGAGCAGGGCGCCGCAGCCGGCCAGGCCGCCCCGCGCCAGGCCGCGCCACAGCAAGGTGGCCAGGAGCAGCGCGTAGCCGGCCAGGGGCAGCACCATGTCGGGCGTCAGCTGCAGCAGCAGCAGGCCGAAGTAGGGCGCGGCCACCAGGCCGATGGGCAGCAGCAGGTGTGGCCGCCGCGGCGTGAAGCCCAAGTGGCAGAGGTAGAGCAGGTGGGCCGCGGCGAAGGCACCCACACCTGCGGACACGGCGCCAGTGACCCCAGGGCCGCGCCGCCCGCCCCGCCCCGAGCCTGGGCCTTTGCACCTACTGGCCCGCCCGGGACCTGCTTCCCGGGGGCCCCGGGGGCCTCGGGGCGCCGGGCCCAGGCCTCACCGTAGAGGAAGGCGTCGGGCCAGATGAGGCAGGCGTCCCCCACGGCCGAGCACAGCAGGGCCCCCTGCGGGAGCCGGCTGCTGCGGGGGCCGGGGGGCTGGGCCCGCAGGAACAGCGCCAAGCTGAGCACCGGCAGGCACTTGACCAGGGCACCGAGGCAGGACGGCTGGCTCTCGGGGATCCAGAGGAGGAAGTAGAGGGCGCAGGCCAGGCCGAAGGGGCTCAGCCACCTGCAGGCCTGGGGGCGGGGCGGGGTCTCAGCCTCTGGCCCGCCGCCCGGCCCTGCAGAGCTGTCCCGGGGCCTGCCCGGCTCAGGGCGCCTGCAGCCCGCGTCCGTCCTCGGGGCAGCCGGCCCCACCCACCCAGGCCCTCACCTGCAGCGAGACGCCGGGCTCCCCGAGCTGTCTCCTGGAGTCCATGTTGGCCTGCGACACCCGGGGGCCGTCTGCGGGTGCCGTGGCTTTGGGGTGAGGACAGCGTGTGGTTGGTTACACGTTAACCCGAGCAGCGTCCTGTGGACTCTGGGCTGATAACAGGCTGGGATGCTGCCCTGGCCGCGGGCGGCCCCGCCTGGCACGCGCTGATAAGGTGCGTCGACCCGGTGCGTCCCCAGAGCCCCCCACCCTGCCTGGGGCTTTGCTGCCGGCCATCACCGGTGGGCCTGGCCCTCCGCCCCCACCCCCCGGCCGTGTCCCCTGGCTCGGCCCAGGAGCCAGGCAGGGACGAGGTGGCCCCGAGAGCCGCAGTCCCGACCCCGCTGACCAGGCACTGGGCGCGGGCGGCCCCACAGCTCCCGGCCCGCGGACACCGAGTCCTGGGCCCTGCAGCTCGACCCCCGAGGCGGGCGCCTCGTGGACAGGGCCCCGCCCGTCCGCAGACGTGCAGCCGGCACCCCTTGGCCAGGGCGAGAGGCCCAGGTCCCGGACGAGGCCAGCACGCTCCCTCCTCCCTGAGCCGGCCCGGCCCGCCGGCCGGCCCCGCGGTGTCCAGAAAACAAGGTCTGACCCACGTGTCCAGCTGTCCTCCTTTATTGGTGTCTGTGGGGGAACCGAGCTGGCAGACGCGCCCGCCGTTGGGGCGGGGCTGGACGAGGGCCGCTGGCGGGCTGGCCCCTACCCCGCCCAGCAGG